GTTAGATTTAAAATTTTTTTCTTTTAATAAACTTGAAAAATATTTTGTGCCTTTTCGATTCAATATATAAATTGTGGAGACCATTAAATTTTTTGATGACAAATCTAAGCGTGCAAAATATATATATATATTATTATTGTTATTAAAATTAAAAACATATATAAATAAGAGCAACGGTTACCCCCCTCCACATCGAAGAGCGCCATCTGCAAGATGTACGGAACTAGTCGAGTTATGAAAAGCAAGCATGAAAAACCACGTCATCAGCTGAAATATACAATTGTTTAAGCTACCAACGAAATCTAGTGAGTTACTTCTTATGAGATGCTAGTGTAATAGATTTCTTTACTAAGAGTGAGTCTGCCAAATTAAATGTACTGGAATAATAATTGAAATTTTGATATATTTTTTTTATGGCGAAATGGTTTGTATTGCCGAAATTTGTTTTACCAGATTTTAAAAATAAAAGTCTAACCTATTGTGGGAATCGCATAAAAATAAAGAAAATTGGCAACATTGCACAAAAAAAATTAGCATCTCTGAGATAAGACTTTCGTAAAAATACCAAAAAATAAGAGCACACATTAAAAATAACAAAATTAAGTTAAACAATTTTTGTCTTGATCAACGAGCAACTCGAAGACGAAAATTGGCAGCATTGTCTTCGTCAGCTTTTCATTTTGGGTTTGTTGTTCTTTTTTTCCTTTGTGTATTTTCTCCTAAAATTTGTGTTTTAATTGAAAAAATAACACTTCTCATTTTTTCAAATCACGCTAAATGCATTTTAAAGTACCGCGCCGCCTGACAAATCTACTCGTAATTGGAGCAATCAGCAAACCAAATGGATGCAATCAACTGAGCGGACTTAATTGTACTGTAGCTGATGGTTCGATCACAGTGTTTCTGACAGTTTTCATTACAGCTTAGGAAGCCCGCCTGATGCTGATGACAATTTACGGTGTCAAAAAAAAAAAAAAAAAAAAAAAAAAAAAAATCATTAAAATGAAAAAATACAGTGAAGAGTTAAAAAAAAAATAGAATAAAAATTAAAAAAATAAAAACATCAACAAGAACTAAAAGCAACTAAAATCTCAAAGGTTTGAATTCTACAGCAACACCTTTCAGTACAAAAGTATGCTTTATGTGTGTGTGTGTTTTATTATTTATTTACAAGCGTCGGCATGTTTTCCAACTACTACTAAATATGAGTGTATGTTGTTGCTAAACTCGTGGCCTACTTCAAGCTCAAGCACGGACTCACGCATACTTTATACAGACCATTAACGCTGAAGGATATACAAATATTTATTTGCTGACTTACGCTGACTGCGTAATGAGCACGCATGTATTCATAATAAATTTGAATAAATCTATTTTTTTTCTTTGGCTTTTGTTCTTAATAAGAGCGTGTGTTGTAAGCAAAATCCGCCTCCTTCAGTAGAGTTTGTAATCAAAACAAAAGAAAATGATAACAAGTGAAGTATGTATAAATGTACATATTTATATGGATATGAGTATATGCACGCGTGTTTCTTTTATGATTAAACTGAACCCCTAAATCTTCCCCTTCGACACAGTCGTTAATGTCCGATTTGACGTAAACAAGTTTTTTCAATAGCCTCAAAAATGCTTTGCCGTTGGCTTTTGAAAATTAACATTTTTTCTGGCAATCACAATACATGTATACTTTCCAAATAACATAAAATAACAAATATATATATGATTGGGCTTTCGCTGATTAAGAAAAAAGATCTCAGAGACCGTCAATTACGAGCGGTGATTAGACTTCTAGTTTTAAGATTAGGATTGAATCAGACTGTTTTCAATTTTTTAGTTTAAAGTCAGGCGCTTAAGAAAATGGATCGCTTAACATTGAAGTAAAAATTGTTGAAACTTTCTAAAAAAAAATTGTGTTTAGTAATTTCAGAGGAGAATTGGGTGTACATAATCGTACAGCTTCTCACGCAATTGCTCAAATGTTGAAATAAATTTGAGGGACTGGAGCAGTCACAGATAGTGTAAAGCATGTTAATCATCCCACCTCAACTATCGTTAGAGTAAGTGAAAGAGTAGCCGAAAACCCGTATGCGTCTAATCCTAGACGTTATCAAGAGCTGGGGCTTTTTTGCGGCCCTTTGAGGTGTAGTAGGCTTGCACCTTTAACCATATTAAGTTCAGCTGATACAACAACTAATGCCAGCTGATCATTTAAAAAGTTATACATACGTCAATTGAGTGCCTCAACAACAAGCAGTGGACTGTTTTTTTCGAAATTAAACTTTATGAGCACATTTCTCAGTTGGTCAGAGGTCATTGCACTCAAAAAAAATTGCTGTTTGTTGTACGCTTTAGTCCGCAGATGTGACTGGATCTAACTTCTTTGATAACGACAACGGCGAGACTGTCACTGTCCATTCCGAGGCTTATGGTGGCATGATAGCCCCATTTTTTTTGGCTTGAAATTTAAGAAACGATTTGAGTAGTTTATATCTGCAACAACATGATGCAACATGACACACAATACGAGCGAAAATGGGTTTATTGCGGGAGAAATTTCCCAGTCGCATAATCTCTCTTCTTGGTGATGTCATGGGCCAATGAGATCTTCTAATTTGACTACATTTGGCTATTCTTTGTGTGGCCAGGCAGAGGACTAATTTGTTTACATGAATAAAATTTTAGCTCCGAAGTTCATTTAAACCAACCCAATATATGCCAAAAGGTGGTTGAAAACTACTTAAAATAAATTGATGCTCGCAAAAATATGCGAGGCAACCATATGAGTCAGGTATTGTTGCAGATATATTGCCAAAACCGCAAAATCGAAAAAGCGGTATTTTTTAGTTAAGGTTTTATTTAGAACTTCGTTGTAATAAATGTTCACAGTCATCTTCGATTTAAGTTTCTTGTGGACGTACACTCATTCCTAGTACAACTATGTATGATATTGAGTTTACTTGACGAAGTTATAAAGGTGGAAATTATTCTGCCTAATGGCAAATTATTTGCTGTTGCAAGGAACTTACGAGAAATCTTTTATAAAGTATTTTTAATGTTCGCACCTTCTTGTACTATATTTAGCTACTTAAGCCGTTTACTCAAGTTTTTCTCTCTGAGAATAACTTTAAAAAACACGTCGCAAAAACTATTTGGCGTGAGAGTAACTCTCAGGTAAATGTTGTAACTATATAGTAAAAATATAAACATTAAAGGTATTAATTTTATTTTCTGATAATATTCAGAGTTTATTCCATTAAATGCCTTTTTGGTAATTGGTTAGGTTAGGTTACACTGGCTGGCTGAAATGCCTTACATAGGTCTTTTAGTCCTTTGTCATACCGGCTGTGAGTTCATATTTTATCGAGGTAGAGCCGCTGTTACGGACGTAAGGTCACAGAGTTTATATACTTATACTCAAAATCCAATTTCGTAATCCCTTTAAGTCTTTTGAACTGTGAGGTACTAATATGAGTTCCAGCTAGGTCTTCCTCCTCCACTTCCTACTTCTTTCAGTGCTACAATGGCTACCAACAACCATGCTGCATACCTTACGTGCATGCTAAAACGTTGGATTTTATTTTAGGCAATCTCTTCAGCCATTTTGTTACCGATTTCATTTGTTTCCGAGATCCCGGAATATATGCCATCGTTACCCTTGACCGTCTTGTATACTGCCGTCCGGCGCTATGAAAACTTATAATGAGATTATTGCTTCAACTGTCGTCTGACTATCGTCAAATATATGGATATATTGTATGGGCTGGATTTTTGTGCTGCAAGTCATCTCAGCAGCTTTCCCTATAGGGAAGACCCGGATACTATAAAGTTCGTATAGTTAGGAAGCTGATGTGTACAGACGCTGTCATTTTCTACGTGAAGTATTAAGTTGGAAAGAAACGCCCGGAAATCATGTTGATCACTATGAAGCACCAGCTCCTTCAACTGTTGCTTATTTGTGATTTTGTTAAAAATATGAAATAATAATAAATTGTTGAATATTAAATGAATGTTTTTAGAATAAACTACAGTTATTAAACATTTTTTTTATATATTTAGTATACCAAATTAAGTTATCTTGAAATTCACAGTTCAATTCCGGCACATCAATTTCCCTTGTTTATTGGAAAATCAAATGTTTAACCTAAAATTAAATTCCAGACATTTTCTAATCATGCAAAGTAATGAGCTCGAGGAAAATTACTTTACGAAAATTTCCAATTAAAATTTAAATTTTGACACACATATGTGCATAAACGTATATTTCCAATAATGTCTGCACATCATTTTTGAGACACAAAGAATCCTCCGCAAGCCCAAAAGCAAATACTTGAAAGCTCAATTTAAAGATTGAAGTCTATTTAAAGAAAGTATTACGCAAAGCATGTATTGATTATGTGGAAAAATGACTTTTGCAGAACACGGATATATGTACGTGAGGAATCTACATACATATGCCAGACAACCCTCTTTGCCAGGTTTACTTATGAAAAACAAAAATATGAAAGGATATGAATTTATAAAACTTTTTTTTCAATACTAAGTATATACGAATGACATATATAATATTAAGTATGCCAATCAGCATTGACTTCAAAAATTTCATTTCGGTTTTCTCGCTCTTCTTTTTCGCAGACATTGCCAATCGAATAATATTTTTTATTGACGTCAATGCCAAAAGCCTTATATATTTTAACTGCCAGATCATACTTCGATATATAATGAAAATATTTCTATACACATACATATTTAAACACTTCGCAATATCACTTTCATTACAAATATGCATTTGTTACCATTATTGTGTGTTTTTCGATTACTCTACGCCTGATTAGTTGTTATTATGGTCTGTTGTTATTGTTATTTCACATTATTAATATCACAAATGTTGTTGTAATAATGTTGACGCATTTAATCAGCGTCACCATGGAGATTGATATGTTATTTCGGCGTTACATACAAGGCTAACAAAAATTTCGATTATTTCTCATTTCACATTCCAGCGTTCGTTGCCATGGCGTATACGCAACAGCTGATTATTATCCTCTGTCGTTGTGGAAAGATTATGGAAAAATGATTGGAGTAGAGGATGAACAGAAAATGAAAAAAAAAATTATGGAGAAAAATAATAAGTGGTGGGATGTATAGTAGGAGAAATATTGCTAGTAAGGAAGCGTAACAATTGTTTCGGGCAGCATAAATGTACACATGTACTATATACGCTGGAGGAAATTTCGGAGAAATAACATGCTTGCATATATATAAGTGTGTAAGTGTATATTTAATATATGTATGATTGTGATCAGCCCAATACGAAACAATAGAGCATTATGTAGCTACAGAGGGTTATCGTGTTCATAATTAAGGAAATTTTGGTAGCAGCAGGATACTGTGACTCTGCATATTTCTGATCTTTATATTTTGCCTTCATTTAGTTAATATAAGGCGGTCAAGTTGGTTTTTCTCAACACCTCGGAATATCAAAAAAAAAAAAAAAAAAAATTATTTAATTATTAGCCAGAATATGCATATAACACATCAAGAACATATTTTTAAGTTCCTCAAGCAATTTTCGAATCGTGAGTATAAAATTTTTTAAAAATTTTTTTAAAACATCAAACTAAGAAGAAAATTATAATAAACTAAATTATTTTGTCAAGAAAATAATATTTTTTTTATTACTTTCTCCTTTTTTTATTCCAAAGAAAAAGCGATATTAGATATTCTATTATAAAAATTTTAATAAATATTAAAATAAGAATATTTACAGTAAAAGTATTTTCTCTTTAATTTTTACAACTCTTTGATTTTTTTTCAGAAGAGAACTAATGCATGCAATATCTAAGTATCCCGTTGCCTGAAGTGATGCCCACTAAATTCTTCTGGGGTTGATTCAGTTTACTACGATTTGTCTGTTATGTACAACAAAATTCCGTGGGAATGGAATCGATGCCAAGTAGGAGGGGAAAGTAAAAAAAAGGAACAAAGAAGGCGTATATATTTAATCCAATCTTCAAGAGAATACTTAAGATTATTGAGATAATGACCCAAATATGGTCGTGTGGAGACTTATGCTTATATATGGATCCTTGGTTTGGTTGTGAGCATTACCGAAATATTAAATATAATGAAGCTATATGGCATACAAAGAGCTAAGTCATGTCCGACAGATGAGCACAATATGCTTGTATCAACGGCTTATGAGCATATGAGCTTCAGCAGACCTTCCTATCAGAGGATTGCAGTGCTGCTATTGGAGGCAAAAACAATTCAGATTACGTGGTCCTAAGGTGAAGTTATTAGTTGCTTTTAAGTGAGGATTCCCTATAATACAAGAAGGGATGATGTGTATAATCTAATATGGATAATCTAAATTCTCTACCATGAAAACATATTCTCTTATGGAAAAGCCATGTTGGGAACACCTCTTGAGGAATCTGAAGAAGAGATAATACTCTGTTCAGTAGGAATCAACATGTGAAAATTTTACTTCAATTATTATAGAACAGAAAGAAAGCCATGTCTCATTGTAGTATAACGAATCAGATTATGATGCGAATGTACCAAGACTCCTATTAAATAGGTCACTGGCGCTTCTGAGAACTTATAACACATATAGGTCTTTGCTATAACACCCTATATTCAAGCCGCCACTAGGTTTTAAAAAAAGGTTTTCCCTTTGAACTGTGCGTGACTAGTGCTCTTACAATTTGGTAATAAAATGCTTGAAAGCTATCAAGTAACAAAACAAGATTAGCTGTTTGCCAAAAGCATTTCGAATATAAATATTTTCATAGGGAACACTCAATGGTTCGTAAATGCTTTGTGGAGCACTTTTACCCATCCACCTATCTGATCCTACGCCAGGCAGTAGAACAAATGTCCTACCGACATTTATATGATATTTCCGATTACTCAACTCATACGCACATTTGCATGCAAATATATTTATGTTAGCATACAACAACAAATTTGTATGAGAATATTACGACCGAGCGCACAAGTACCGCGTAAAAATCACTTTTGAACATGAGAGTGCACAAACAGTATAAAATTAGACCACCGAACTTCATACTCAGGCAAGTCAGCTTGTCAGTGGTAGAGAAAAAGTCAGTTAACCAAGCCAACTAAACACTAAAACGCTAAAATTGCATGTTTCATTCACTTTTTGCTTGGCATGAAAGAGTCAAAAATGCGGGTATCTCTTTGGCCAGCGGCAAGATATTATATTATTGGGCGTATAAGCCTCTTCAAGTTCACCATTGCGTGTTTTGTGGAGAAGATTTCAGACAACTCATGTGTGCACACATTTAAAACTTGAAGCATGATTATAGTTATGTATGCGTAGATGTGTATTAGGGTTTGCGGCGGAAGGTTGAGTATACTGAACATTTTACTTGCAAAATTTTAGGTTACGTATACGCACTGTTGTCACAAGCCATGCGAAGGCTTTGTTTTGTTGGTTTAAAATTAATTCAGCATTTTGAATTACACATTTTCGAAAGTAGTTTGTTTATTTTAAAATTGGTTCACACATATTTATAAATAAATTAATTAAACAATAGAAATTCATATGTATTATTCAGCGAGGTCTATTCAAAACGCAAGGAAAAATTCAAAACTCATCGCATACTCACGTATATTTCACTTTCTTTTTGATTTTTTCCACAAGAAGTATGGACCTACAGTATTTTCCAAGTCGCTTACGAATGCCTTATGGAGTATTGTTCTTTCATACCAGAAATATAATCAGAGTTCTTGATTGACGTTCCTAGTCATGGGGCGAACGAAATTAAAGTAATAAATTTTCTGTAATGGTTTTAAGGTTATTTGCATTAAGACTTGAATCCTTGCCTGGCCTGGTGACACACACATTAAATTCTCTGAAATCTTGAAGGAAAAATGAGAAATATTTTTGGAGAAAGTGAATTAACATAAATGAGTAGCTCGATAAAGCTACGTGTAAGAAACCATGTCAAAATGACATTTATCGGTTCCATATTTTATTTGGAGGGATCTCTCCGAACCTTTCCATAGCAATTATTGAATTTGATGGGAATAACATGCGCCGCTAATCCAACTCGCCTACCCAGAAGATATTTTGACTTTCTAGAGAATAGAGCAGTCGGCAAAAGGGGTTGGTGTACAAGAATTTTCTGCGCATTCTGGCGGCTGACCTCATCAGTCCGTTCTGCTCTATGGCGTGGATATGGCAAACAGGGGTCAAAATAATGTAAAAGCATTTGAAAAATCTATTCTACGAGAGAACGATGATCGAATGACATGCATGAATATGTAAATAATTCGCTGGCTTAGACATGCCGTTCATATACTTGAAGATTCTCCAATGAAATATCTTGCTAAGTTCAGAAGAACCTCTTAGTTTGAATAACTGAGTTGATGTAGTTTTCAGGCCTTAGACCAAACCGACAAAACGGTTGTAGAGCCAAAGAAGATAAAGACCAAGAATAGGGTTGCGTAAGTTTGGTTGAATCCATGCCACATCGAATTTAAGATGCTCTGCTTTGAATTTTTTTTATGTGCAAACCCATTTAAGGCAAATGAACTGTTTTAAAAAATAAATGTTGTTTCTTAAATTACGTTATGAAAGCGTTTATTTTACTCGAAAAAAAAATGTGGAAAGGCTCATCTGTGTCAAGGGGAGCCTTGCTGAGAAAATTAAAATTTTATTTATTTTTGGAAAAAAACCCAGTGCACTTCTGCTGAGTGTCATCTGTAATATTAGGTGAAGTAAAAAGTAATCCATTATTTTTCCAATAGATGGCGTTTTTTTTATCAGTACCTTGCGTTGTATAAGTCCAATCCTCTAGATGGCGTTAAAAGTATTCCATTTTTTACTAAAAAAGCTTTCCTGAGATCAGCTTATTCACTTTCGTTTGAGCGTGCGTCAAAAATAGACACCAGCAAAGAGAAAATCCGCTATATTTTATAGTTTTTCTTCGATAAGGGCAAAAACGCAAGCCAAGAGGCTGAAAATGTGAATAGCGTTTATGGTCCTAATACTTTTACAGTCACTCATGTACAGTGTCGGTTTCATTCCAGTATTTTTGATGGAAAATGAGCTTCGTGGAGTGGAAGGCAAATTAACGAAAATGTCAATAAACCCTTAAAGATTAAAGTCCGACCATCATGTGAGCACTGTTTGGAGTGCCCAAGAGCAAAAGATGTCAGAAAAACAATTAAGAGCCGTTTAAATAAGGCCGGATATGAAAAGAAAAAATAAAGCCTTCAATTTCATGCAAAAGTAATGGATATTTTTTACATCTTTCAGCGTCATTGAATCCTCTTCAATTAATTCAACACGGCTTGACCAGAGCAGTACTTGGTGTTTGCTGAGTATCCGGAAATCGCACAGAGTTAGATCATGCAGATATGGTGGGTATATATAGAACGACATAAGTAGAAGTTTTGTGTTGTGAATACAATAAGTTTCCGCTCTCGTAAACCCGACACCTCTTTTGGAATAACCTCACGAGAACATTCATAATATGTTGTGCATAACTGGTTACTCAAGTCACTTTCATAAATGTAAACTATTTCAAAATATATTGGGTCACCTCGAAAACGCCACCCTAATGCCTATGCCAGTGTACTTTATACGTATTAACCGCTGTTTTTCTTTTCATACACTTCTATGCGTAACTGTATATGCCTAATATTAATTTATTTTGACATGATAAGCTTCCACGTTTACGCCGCGAGTATATAGAAATTGGCTTTTACGAGTGTTGAGCTTAAGTAAAGTATTCTTCAAGAGCAAATGCGAGTCATGGAAAAGAAAAAATGAAGATTACAAAAAAAAAATTGCTTTTTGGTATGAAAAAATGTGAAAACAAAATAAAAATAATAGAGAGCAGAAAAAATATTTAACAATAAAAAAATAAAAATTTTTTAAAAATAAATTACATAGAGAAAATTACAAAAAAAAAAAATTTAAATACGGTAAATTTATAAATGAAACAAAATTGGACAGACTCGCTGGCATTTTGGATCTTGCCTACCTCTAAATGACTCGCCAGTGTCTCATACCGCCGATTGCTGTCGCTTTCCTTGCTCTTTTTCATGGTTTCATGCATCGCGCTGCGCTATAAATATGTAAATTCAAGTGAAATTTTTGGGAAAAAAACTTCCTTGCCAACTATGATTTTCCATATACATATCAAACTCTTGGGCAAAAACATAAAACCTTATGTACGTAGACAATCTCTAGCTTATGCATACAGGTACACACATACATACTTATATATGTAAGATTTTCGAAGTTAGACAGATATATAAGTGCGTTGCAAGTGTATGTATGAAATTTACATGCAACATACGAGCACTCAACTAACTGTATGAAACCGATATATATATATTTGCGTGCATACATATTTACGCAGGAAGTTTATTATGACTCTCCAATGCGTTATTATGATAACAAACATCATATGAGGCATGCAACATAACAGGCAGCAGGCTTTTTTGAATGAGATAAATTTGCATGTTGAGAAAGAGAAAAAGTCAGAGAAATTCAGGTTTGTAGAAATAAGATTCGTTTTTAAATTTATGGTTTAAATGTCATTAGTCCCCCAAATGCCATATTTTGTGATTTGTGTAATTTTCTCACAAAATTAACCAAAAGTGACTAGGAATGACAGTGAGCTTCTTCACTTTACGTATTATGTATACATGTGTACCGTCATCAATCAAAACAAGAAACTAAAACCAAATAAAAAAAAATTTAAAAAAAAAAATTTCAAATAAAAAATAAAAATCTCAGATATTGTAGTTACAAAAAAAAAATTTATACAACCCCTGTCAATGCCACAAAGAAAGCCATTGACACTACCAGATATTTCTTTTCATTTATCGAGCGACATTCTTCAAGTTGACATTGATCGAAAGTGGCAGCAGTGATGGCTGAGCGTTTATACACTTCGAAAACCCCAAAAGCAAGTTCAATCACCATCACAGCTCGCTAAGTAAATTATGCGGTGCAAAGGAGCAGCAAACAAACCAAGCGAACAGCTGATGATATATTTTACCCGCCACAACTGCTGGCGCCACCACAGTCACCTTTTTGTTGGCAATTTATGTAAATCACACTTTTCCCATGCAACGACCACGTCCTTCCGCAACTCATTTACATGCACACATACTGAACTATCATATATATATGTAGTATATACATATAGATTTCTACAAATTTTATAAACAACAACACTACAAAAAACCGAAAAAATGTAAACAAACAAGCATTGCATAGAAAGAAGAAGAAGCAGCAGCAGCAGCAGCAGCCAGCGGAGAGCAGCGTGGAAAAATAGTTTAAAAAATTGTAAAGAAAATGTGGGGTTGAAATTCGTACAGCTTGGTGCGTGGGAAATTAAATTTATGCATGATGTCCTTTACAGAAAAAAAAAAAATATATTAAATGAGAATTCCAAAAAAAAAAAAAAAAAAAAGAAAGAAGTGTCTAGCATTAGTTATGCTGAAAAATCGACGCACAAGCGTTTTTGCGGCAAAAAAAAAATATATAGTGAAAAATATATAAGCGCATAAAATCTAGGTTTCGTTGCAGCATCAGCAGCAGTTGAAAAATTGTGGCAGACAATGTTGAAAGTGAAAAATGTTGAATAGAATAGTAGTCATATATATGCAGGAATGTTTCAAATCAGATACATATAGATACAATATATTTTCACACACACACACATCGCATATTCCCATATTCAGTTTAGAATTGCAAAAAAGAAAAAAAATTAAACATGAAATAAAATAAAATAAAATAAAAGTGAAAAAAAAGAAACACCTCACAGCATTGTATCTTTAAGCTTAGCATATTTCAGTGCCGCCGCACCGCACTGCAGCGTGCTGTTGTTCGTGGCCAAATGCGCCAGTGAACTTTTCCAATAGCAAATGTTTCGTTAAATTGATGTCATAGCCTTTGGTAATGGGTTTTGCGTATTTGCATTACAGCCAGCATCAATATTTACATAAAGTTTTCAATCTACTCGGTATGCTGTATACATATATATACTCGTATATATATCAATACAATGTGAAGTACTACAATATATTATATATGTGAGTACAATTTTTGTATCGGAGAAGTTCACTCATATATCGACTGTTTGTGTGTTGGTGAAAAATAATAGCGAAATATTTTCCGGAGCACTTGAATCAGTGGGCATTAAAAATTTATTGAAAAATTTATTAAAATATTTTAATAACTTCATTTCGCATGAAAATTAATATATCGGTGTATCATATTGATTTTAATAAATTTGAAAGCATGTGTTTCATAATTTTTTTTTTTTATTAAAATTTCTTTAAAAAAAAATGTTTTTCTTTAGAAAAATAAATTCGCAAAAACATTTTAGCTATTTTGAACTAGCTTAGAAACAAATAATATTGATATCAGTTAATTTTGCAATTTTTTGAGGATATTTTTAATTATTTACTGTACAAAATACGGTAAAATCAAGACAAAGCTAAACGTTAGTCCAGAAAAAGGCGTTTGGTTCACATCTCA